GCCTTTGAACAGTGGGTCGCCCTCTTCAGCGCCTTCTAGTGGGTCGCCCTTTTCATAAGAAGAAGAGCAGCTCGCGCAGAGAGTCGATCCCCGCATTGACTGTCGCTGTCGTGAATCATCGCTGAGTGTCCGCCAATAAACCGCTTAACAATTTGGTGGAGAGTGCTGAGAGTGCTGTGCCCTTCAAACATCTTCGGTCCGCATTCGATGCCCTTGGAGCTTCGATCCCGTACCGTGCCTCCAACCATGCACCAAGACGCCGCCCAGCAAACGCTTCCTCCTACGCCGACGCCATGTCCCGGTGTCCCCCGCATCCGCGACCCTCCTGTCTTCACCGGAGCGGATGGCACCGACGTCGAGGACTGGCTGGCCATGTACGAACGCGTGAACGTCCCCAACCATTGGGACGAGGCAGGTAAACTGGGCAACCTGTTTTTCTATCTCGCGGGTGTGGCCGGCATGTGGTACAACAACCACGCATCTGATTTCCCGACATGGTCCGATTTTAAAACCGCTGTCGTCGACGTGTTCGGCCGCCCGGCCGTTCGTAAGCTGCAAGCTGAACAGCAACAGAATCGAAAGTTGGGCTAGTTGGATATGCATGGTATAACTATCATTTAAAGCGCACGAAAAACAGACATAAAGAGAGGACAAGCGCTTTTCGCAACTAAACTGTTTATTAGAAAGAGCGGAATATATATACAGGCAACTGAAAAACACGACTCATGCATGTGCAGGCAACCATTGGGAGTGCAGGCAACCATTCCTCGAGTGTTTTTCTTTTACCATGTGTTCTTGATGTGCCACTGATGTACTTTTTTGCCTGCACATGCATGAGTCGTGTTTTTCAGTTGCCTGTATATATATTCCGCTCTTTCTAATAAACAGTTTAGTTGCGAGAAAGCGCTTGTCCTCTCTTTATGTCTGTTTTTCGTGCGCTCTAAATGATAGTTATACCAAGCTGAACAGCGTTTACGTGAACGAGCCCAGCAGACCGGCGAGACCTTCACAAGTTATATCGAGGACATCCTTGACTTGTGCAAGAAAGTCGACCTGAACATGTCAGAGGCTGACGAAATCACGCATGTTTTAAAAGGCATCGCCGACGATGCCTTCACCATGCTCCTCGCAAAGAACCCCCGCACTGTGGCAGAAGTCATCATGTTATGCCAAAGTTACGACGAGCTGCGGCGGCAGCGCTTGATGACCCGTCGATGCTGATCGATGCACCACGTCGATGCACCACGTGATGCTGATCTCTCGGCCTTGTCAGCAGTTCCTGACCACGCAACCTTGCTCGCCGAAATCAAGTCGTTCGTGCGTGAGGAAGTTGCCCGCCAGGTCTCTCTACTGGCTTTTGCTTCCCCACAACATCCTCAACAGCCATCAAGTACACTTCTACCTCCGCTCCGCCAAGCCATTCAGCAGGAAATCGCGGAGGTCGTCCCTGAATACCACCAGCCGCCTCCTGCATCTGTGCCACTCAGCTACGCCCAAGTTGTTGCCAGGCCGCCCCCACCGATTCCAGCGAATGTTCCCCTAAATTACACCGAAACCGTCGCGAGGCCACAGGTCTTTGGAGAAACTGTCTCGCCTACATACGCCGGCGTCACCCACGTGCCCCGAGTGCCGCCTACCATGCACCCATATCAGCAGCCGGCTCGCCAATCGCGTTTTGCGACATGAATGCGACCCGCAAACCAATGGCGCACTGCTGACAATCGCCCCATCTGTTTTGCTTGTGGTTGCGTCGGTCATGTAGCACGCTATTGCAATCGTGTGCAGCAACCGCAGGTCGCCTCCAACTTTCCCAGTCAGTCAAGCCGCTCGTATGACCAACCGCCGCCTATGTCACCGTCGTCCCGTCCCGTTCCGTCTACCCGCCGTTCACCATCTCCACGACGTCGCTCACTGTCGCCAATGCGGCCACGTCCACTCGAGGGCGATCAGGAAAACTAGTCGTCGCAGCCCACGAGGCAAGGACTGCGACGCTGTCGAACTGCGGAAGGCCTCAGGAAAGCCCGTCGAACGTGATAGACGTGCTTGTGAATGGCGTTTGTGCATCTGCCCTTGTAGATACTGGAGCCGCCGTATCCGTGATGGACGAAAAACTTAGCCGATTACTGCGCAAAGTGACCACGCCGCTTCGTGGGCTCTCTCTCCGTACAGCCAGCGCCCAAAGTATTCACTCTACGGCGATGTGCACAGCCTGCCTTATGATTCAGGACGTGATGTATGCGGTCGAATTCATCATAATTTTTTCATGCTCTCACGACGTCATCCTAGGATGGGATTTTCTCTCCCGCCACGACGCCGTCATTCATTGCGCACCAGCAGAAATAGAACTCACGCCATTCTCTTCCTTGACGCCACCCGACAGTCCATCCGCTGCAAGCAAGGTACTCGTCAGAGACGACACTCAAGTGCCTGCAAACTTGTCCGTTGCGGTGTCGCTCTACTGCGCAAGCCTTTCTGACACTGCTGCACTCCTCTCGCCATCTCATCGTGTTTTCATAAGAAAAAGCTTGCTGGTTCCTTTCGCGACCGTGCAACTCACTCACGGCAGCACCACTATTTTCGTTGTGAACTCATCTCCGTACAGCGTTACGTTGGTGCAAGGGGAATGTCTCGGCAGCGTGGAACCCATCGAAGACGCGCAAGTTATGGATCAACCCGATGACATGCACTGCTCAAGTTCCTGTACGCTTGGTGCTGTTTCGACATCTGCTTCATCATCCGATGATATATTAGGTCCCTGCTTACCCGACGACCTTACGAAGGGCCAGCGTTCCCAGCTTTTGGGCCTGTTGGAAGAATTCCGCTCTTCTTTCGATGTCGCTCAACCTTCTCTTGGCCGCACATCCACCGTTACGCATCGCATCGACACAGGCGCACAGCCACCGCTGCGGCAACGTCCATATCGCGTATCTCCCACAGAACGCCGTGTAATCAATGAGCAAGTCGACGACATGCTTCGCCGCGGTGTTATTCGCCCCTCTAGCGGCCCCTGGGCTGCTAGAGGGGCGTTCTCGTCACGAAGAAGGACGGTTCTGTGCGGTTCTGTGTGGACTACCGACGCCTCAACAAGATCACTCGTAAGGACGTGTATCTACTACTGCGGGTAGATGACGCGATTGACAGCCTGCAAGGAGCAAAATTCTTTTCATCCCTCGATTTGCGCTCAGGGTACTGGCAAGTACCTATGGCTGAGGACGCTCGACCGAAGACCGCTTTTGTAACCCCCGACGGCTTGTACGAGTTCAACGTTATGCCGTTTGGGCTGTGCAATGCGCCCGCCACCTTTGAGCGCATGATGGATACAGTTCTGCGTGACCTGAAATGGCACATGTGCCTGTGCTACCTCGATGACGTCGTTGTTTTCGCTCCTGACTTCTCGACGCATCTTCAACGCCTTCGGCATGTTTTAACGCGTCTGAGCAACGCCAGTCTGCAACTGAACCTAAAGAAGTGCCAATTTGCAGCTCGGCAGCTGACAATACTCGGCTACGTCGTGTCCAAGGACGGAATTCTCCCTGATCCAGCCAAGCTTCGAGCCGTGACCGAGTTCCCCAAGCCGACATCCGTCAAGGAACTGCGCAGTTTCGTAGGACTGTGTTCCTACTTTCGGCGCTTCATTCGAAACTTCGCGACTATCATATCGCCGCTGACGAAGCTTCTCGGAAGTAACGGGCCTCTCCATTCGTGGTCATCACAGTGCGACGACGCTTTCAGAACACATCGTCGTTTGTTGACGTCGCCTCCCATACTCTGCCACTACGACCCTACGGCCCCTACAGAGGTACACACGGATGCCAGTGGTGTCGGCCTCGGCGCTGTCCTTGCGCAGCGCAAACCAGGGTTCCCGGAATATGTTGTGGCGTACGCGAGCCGTATGCTTACTAAAGCCGAGACTAATTACACAGTCACCGAGAAAGAATGTTTGGCAATCGTCTGGGCCCTTGCAAAGTTCCGACCTTATTTGTATGGTCGCCCATTTGATGTCGTCACTGACCACCCCGCACTATGCTGGTTGTCGTCATTGAAAGATCCCTCAGGCCGTCTCGCCCGGTGGGCACTTCGCCTGCAAGACTATGACATCCGCGTGCTGTACCGCAATGGAAGGCAACATGCTGACGCCGACGCCCTGTAGCACTCTCCCTTGCCTGACGACAATGCCAACAACTCAGTGTCTCACCTTGCCATTTCTTCGATTAGCATTCATGCCATTGCTACTGAACAGCGCATGGATCAATGGATTGCCTCACTGATAGACTTGCTGACTGATCCATCCACTCCATCCACTCGCGCGTTGCGTCGTCAAGCCCGCCATTTCGCCGTTCGCGACGACCTCCTCCACCGACGCAATTACAACGGTGACGGCCGCCAGTGGCTACTAGTCATACCTCGCAGTCTGCGCTCTGACATATGCGAATTCTTTCATTCTGATCCGCAATGTGCGCACTCCGGGGTATCGAAGACTTACCACCGCATTCGCCAACGGTACTTTTGGCGCGGCATGTACCGCTACGTGCAGAAATTCGTTCGCTCCTGCATAGAATGTCAGCGCCGCAAAACTTCAACGCAACTGTCGCCGGTAGGTCTGCAACCCCTACCTTGCCCTGCCAGGCCATTTGGGCGCGTTGGAATCGATTTGTATGGGCCACTTCCACTAACGTCAGCTGGTAACCGCTGGGCCATTGTTGCTGTGGACCACCTCACGCGATACGCCGAAACTGCCGCTCTCCCCGCGGCTACAGCGAGCGATGTGGCCTCCTTCCGGCTCCAACGATTCATGCTGCGACACGGTCCACCTCAGGAACTGCTCAGTGATCGAGGCCGCGTCTTCCTGTCTGTAGTCGTCGAAGCCATTCTCAAAGAGTGCAACGTTGTTCACCGCAAAACTGCTGCTTACCACCCGCAGACGAATGGCCTCACGGAACGCTTCAACCGTACGCTCGGCGACATGCTTTCCAAGTACGTCGCTGCCAATCACACAAATTGGGATGACATTCTACCCTTCGTCACCTACGCATATAACACCGCCCCTCAAAGCACTACTGGCTTTTCACCTTTCTTTTTATTATATGGAAGGCACCCGTCACACACCATCGACACTATACTTCCGTACAAGCCAGATCCGTCCGAGTGGGCGCCTATTTCTGCTACAGCCAAGCTTGCTCAAGAGTGTCGAGAGCTTGCAAGGACATTTACAGCACATGATCAAGAGCGGCAAAAAGCCATTCGCGCTGACGCCAGCACTACTGCGCCCACGTTCCTCCCTGGAGCGCTCGTCTGGCTCTCGATCCCTACTACTGCAACTGGCCTATCTTCAAAACAATTGCCCAAATACGAAGGCCCCTACCGTGTCGTCAAATGCACTTCCCCAGTCAACTACTTGATTGAACCGATCAAACCATCTTCGGACATGCATCGTCGAGGACGCGACATTGTTAACGTGGAGCGCCTGAAGGCCTACCATGACCCGCTCATTTTAACCAGCTGCTAGGTCGCCAGGCGGCTCCCTTTTCGTACCCGGGGTAGTTGCGGTAAAGCCTTTGAACAGTGGGTCGTCCTCTTCAGCGCCTTCTAGTGGGTCGCCCTTTTCATAAGAAGAAGAGCAGCTTGCGCAGAGAGTCGATCCCCACATTGACTGTCGCTGTCGTGAATCATCGCTGAGTGTCCGCAAATAAACCGCTTAACAATATATATATATATATATATATATATATATATATATATATATATATATATATATATGTATGTATATATATATCTGTGTGTGTGTGTGTGCGTGTGTGTGTAAACTAGCCACCACGGGCATTCCTATTTTTTGCATGCCCGTAACTTACAGCGTTCTGCAAATTCATAAAAAGCTCTGAGACAAAATCTATTGTGACGCAAGGTTATGCTGTCCTTTCAAACGTCCTAGGGAATACTTTAAATAATTACATACTCTTTGCATGTACAGAGTAGATAGAACTACAACTGGCTTCAGTGGGGGAGAGAGAAAGAGAGAGAAATAACGTTTATTGCACCCGTCTAGAATGACAGGGGAGGAGGCTTTGGCCTCTGCCGCCAATCATCCCCCTAGCAATCGGCCGGAATCCCTTGGGACGCGGCGGCGGTCAGGGCGAGACCGATGACTTGACGCTGTTCTTCGGCGTCATGGCTGTGTATTAAGTCCTCCCAGGATTCTACGTTTCTACTTGGATCATTGTAGAATGGGCAGGTCCATACTATGTGCACTAAACCCGCAGTGCTGTTGCAGTGCGCACATCTGGAGTTGAACACTTCCGGGTGCCATTTACTGTACAGGTGAGGCTTTGGAAACACCCCGGTTTGCAATTTTCGCCACATAATTTCCTCCTTTTTGCTCAGCTGGGGGAAGAATATCCACACAAGGTGACGCTTTCATGCGCACAAGAAGTAACATTACGGAATAAAGTGCATGGAATTAGGGTTAATGTGGTTGCGAAAAATGAACAACATATATTTTCACCCGGCGCACAGATAACCATTGCACAATCACCTCATGCTCACCAACGAGGTCTTTTTATTTCAATGTACTTGCAGCGTCATTGCAACATTTATCCGGTAATCTTTTGTCTGCCTGCACAGCTATATTATTTGTGATCGCAGACATTGCTTCAGCAGCAGGACGCATCTTCTCAGTTCGAACGGAAAAGTCACGAACCTGATTTGCGCTGATCTTGAGGCGCTGCTCTTGGCTGAACAGCTTCGCTATTAAAAATGTGGATACAAACTGCACAACGGCGATTGCAGTGGCATCGGGTAGAAGCGAGAGCCAGTTCTCAAATGGTGGTGGCGTCGGCTTAGGAAAACTGAAACAAAGAGAATTTGTACATAGTTGCATAATACTGAATTTATCAACAAAGACTATTGCAGACAGCCTCACTTTTTGTCCATATGTTAGTTCCGAACATATTACACGCCTTATTATAATATGTAGGAAGAGTGGTGGTCATTTTGTCGCTTTTGTCGCTCTTTGAACATGTTTCAATAAAATATTATCGATTGATATTATTATTATTGTATCGGTTTTACCTTGTACTCGAGAAAATTGAGACCATTGTCTATTTTAGTTAAACTCGAAGGTTGCGATGAGTTCTTTAGCTTACTGATACTGTTCCAATGCTCCAAACTTGCTGTTGCTGATGTATGACAGATAATGTTAAGTTAATATTTACAGTTTAAATTGTGAGGTGTGAGTCTGAAAAAAATTGATGTTTCTAGTGGCCCATGAATTCTTCTTAGGTAACGTGCTTTTGAGTGCTCATAAGACATAAATGTGATTTAATCATTTATTGCAGAAAAAAGTAGGGGACCCTACAGTTCTTTCATGATTTGAACATGAGAGTGATATTCAGGTCCTAGTGCGTGCTTGAAACACGTATTGCATTGACCCTTTTCGAACTTGCTATGCACACACCCCGTGGCCTTAAGGCAGACTTTGATTCGGAAAGCCTTTGAGAACATCACATGTTCTGACAAGGCTAGCCATGGGCCCTTGTACCACGCATTTTAAATGTAAAGTAATTTTCAGCAAACTTCTGCGACTTTGAGCATATCTATCTATCTATCTATCTATCTATCTATCTATCTATCTATCTATCTATCTATCTATCTATCTATCTATCTATCTATCTATCTATCTATCTATCTATCTATCTATCTATCTATCTATCTATCTATCTATCTATCTGTCTGTCTGTCTGTCTGTCTGTCTGTCTGTCTGTCTGTCTGTCTGTCTGTCTCCCTGTCTGTCTGTCTCCCTGTCTATCTATCTATCTATCTATCTATCTATCTATCTATCTATCTATCTATCTATCTATCTATCTATCTATCTATCTATCTATCTATCTATCTATCTATCTATCTATCTATCTATCCATCTATCTCATCTATCTATCTATCTATCTATCTCACTATCTATCTATCTATCTATCTATCTATCTATCTATCTATCTGTCTGTCTGTCTGTCTGTCTGTCTGTCTGTCTGTCTGTCTGTCTGTCTGTCTGTTTGTCTGTCTGTCTGTCTGTCTGTCTATCTATCTATCTATCTATCTATCTATCTATCTATCTATCTATCTATCCGCTTACATTTGGGTGCTCTCATGGTTACCCCCTTAACTTGGCGCGAACTAAAATTAGCATAGGAGAGCAAGAAGGTATGACGAATATTTGTGCTGATGAAGACATGAATATTGTCACAATCCCGTAGCTTACGTCGTCAAACACTTCCCGTGAGATAGTGGCACAAACCCACGGGTGGGTATGTGCCGCTGGTTCGCGGGTGTGTGCCACAGTTTATTCACACTTAGTATCTACCCAGGAATGACGAGAGCGCACATGGGCAATTTAGCGCGCGAGCGTTAAGAAATCAGTAGCGTCGACCCGACGTATGCAAAGAATAGTTGTCAGTGTTCCAGCTGAAGTCAAACCCAAGCATTCTGCGTGGCAACAAAGCATTTTACCACAGAGCTACGGCAGGTCTCGAAACTAGTTCTCAAGTAGAATATAACCTTCGTGTAACGTCAATAGTGGTTCCTGTGCTGCTTACCCAATTTTATAAACATTATGTACGTACTCCTTTTAAATAACCGTCACACCGAGTTAATGTCAATTGTGGTTAGTTTTCATTTATGTAGCAGTGTCCAGTGCCAGCATCCTAACGAACATGAACCCTTCATATCAGCTTCTGGTGTTGTTATTACGCATGTTCCAGTTGGCATCGTCGCACAAGTGCCAACAACTGGTTGTATAAACATCTGTAACTTTCCAACATATGCCTGTGCGTGGAACATTTGTACATATATTCAGCGTTGTTACTGACGTGTCGCTCAACAAAAAATTGCTACACTGTCACCTTCTTTCTGCTTGCATCGCATAACGCCTATTCCCGGTCACGGTGGTTCTGCCGAATATTTTACTGCACTATTTCATTTTGCATTATGAAAAGTGTATGCAGGACGCGTGTGTTTGTAAAACTTGAAAAGAACTTTTATTGCATTTGCAAGCAGAGGAAACTACTTTCACAGTACTTAGAAGTGGAGGCTTGGCCATGTGGTAGAAAATACTTTTGCCTTGCCAACAACCCTAATCGTATCGCCACTCACAGCCAAAGAGTTTTGGTTCTGATCCTACTCTGACTCAGGTTTTTATCATTTATTTTAATTGCATACTTTTCAATTTCGTGGTTCCTTACATGACGATAATTTCGGCTCCGAACCAACAACGCCGACACTAATGCCGAAATTTCTGCGAAATGAGCTCAAAAGCTCATTTCGCAGAAATTTCGGAATCGCGTTAAAGTCGGAAAATATTCAGAGTGATTGTACTTTTCGTCACACAGAAACAAAACAACTACTACACAATACTCATAACAAATTAAAAATAGGACTGGTTCCGGAGAAAATACTTTTCATTACATTAGATGTAGCAGATGTTTCCCTAGTTTATGGATACTATGCAACGTGCTTGTTTCGGGCTTTGTTCACTGTTTGTAGCCTACTTCACGACGGCAATCTTCTATGACGATTTAAGTTTTTAAAGCTAGTGGTAACGACACGCACATGTTCGAAGTGTGCCGTTGAAAGCACAAGATAAAATTATTTTTATTTTTGTCGCTGGCAGACCGCCTTTGGGCTGTCTGGCAAGCTGAAGATGCCGCCCGAGTACAAGGACTTCAAGGGGTCACGTGAGGCACCGCCATCATAATCGACAGATTGTGGGAAAGGACAGAAGTTAATTCCTTCTTTCCCCACCTCGCCCGGTGAAAACTGCCGTACTTTAAAGAAATTTCATTCATTCATTCATTCACCACCGGTTCGTAACGAGAAAGACTAAATACCGCTTGCCTTATAAATGAGCTTAATTACATGTCGGTGCGACTCACCCAGATGCAATATGCCCAAGAACTTTCACGTTGTGCTTGACGTCGAGCTCGAGGAAGTGAGATGCTGTCGTGGCAAAAATGACCTGTGCAATTCAAAGTTAAAAATTTTTGAAAGGATGTACCAAACAAAGCTTTCAAAGTTGATTACATACATAAAGTATCCTAAGTAAGCAGGCATAACACAGAGAGAATTGAACATGTTCTATAGAAAGGGGGAAGCGTCAAAGCGGTGAAGAGATAACTTGGGATGGGCAAAAACTTATGATATGCACTAAGGGACATGGAACGCAAAGTAGCTAATAATGTGGATAGGGTGGTTAAAGTAGCGGAGAAGTTTTACAGAGTTCTATGTAGTATGCGGGACAACCACGACCAGATTATACGAACTAGCAGTAACCCAGATGACATCCAAACAGTAGTGACAAGAAGTCGGGAGAGTCTTGGAGGGAATGCAAGGAGGCAAAGGTGCTGGTGAGGATCACGTAACATCAGATCTGTTGAAAGAAGAAGGACAGATTGTGTTCGAAAAACTAGCCAACCTGGTGGGGCTGAAGTGTCTCCTCTCTTGACGGGGATGGTGCCAGAATCTTGCAAGAACGCTAGCGTCATGTCAATCCATAAGCAGTGGGACCACAAGGCCTTGAATTTTTACAGGCTGAGTAGCTTGATCTCCGCTGTATACAGGCTATTCAAAAATGTTTTTTGCTAGGAAAATTAATATTAGATTCAATCAACCAAAAGAACAAGCAGGATTTTCTACAGAATACTCAACAATCGACCACAATCCTATCATCAATGAAATGATAGAGAAAGACTCAAAATACACCCAATCACTGAATAATGCCTTTATGGATTGCGCAAACGCGTTTGATTCAGTACAGATATTAGCATGGAAGCAGACACAGCGGAATTAGCGCTTCGATGAATCTTATGTACATATTCTGGAAGAAATCTACAACGCAATAACTGCCACAATTGCAATTCATGAACAAAACCGGAAAATACCAATAAAGAAGGGTGTAAAGCAAGGGGATACAATTTCCCCAATGCTATTTATGACGTGCTTACAAAAGATTTTGAGAGGCCCTGAGAACGAAGAGTTATGGGTAACAGTTAATGGAGAGTACAATAGTAACCTATCCTTTGCCGGTGACACTGCGTTGCTGAGTAAATCAGGGGACGAATTGCTACTCTTGACTACTAAATTAGAGCAGGAGAGCAGTGAGGTAGATCATGAAATAATTTGCAGATATTTAAAGTAATGTTCAACAACCTCGGAAAATAAGAGCGCTTCGAGATAGGTAGCAGTGCACTCGAGTTGTAAAATAATGCGTCTACTTAGTACAGGGAGTAACCATGGAGCCGAACTACGTGATTGGAGTAACTAGCAGAATAAGAATGGGGGAAGCACAATCGGCAAGCATTGTAAAATTATAACTCGTTGATTCCCACTATGCTTCGAGCGGAAAGTATGCAACAGCTGCATCTTGCCGGTACCTAACCACAAAGCAGAAGCCTGGAGGCTTAAAAAGAGAGTTCAGCTTCAATTAAGGGCAAAACAGCGAGCGATGAAAAGAAAAATGATAGGTGTAACCTTAAGAGACAAATAAAGAGCAGAGTTGGTCAGGGAACAAACTGCGCTTAAGAATATTATATTTTAAATCAAGAAGAAATGGACATAAACCAGGCACATAGTGCGTAGGCATGCTAACCGCTGACCATTGAAGGTAACTGACTGGATTCCCAGAGAAGGCAAGAGGGTTAGGGGGAGACAGAAAGCTAGGTGGGCAGATGAGATTAGGATGTTTGCGGGCGTAAAGTGGTAGCAGCAGGTCCAGCACCAAGTTGACAGGTGGAACATTGGAGAGGCCTTTATCCTGCAGTGAGCGTGGTCAGGCTGATGATCATGATGATAATGATGACGTAAAAACAGCTTCAGATGTCATGATTATTATGTGTGAACTTCATATAATGTAGTCTTGCGAGTTTTAAAGAAAAACGATGGGTGAACCTTCCACTGAGTCGTACAAAAAACAGCGACACTGGACAATTCTGAAGGCTAATCAGGCTGCGTCAAGGTTGTTTCTCTGCCTTAGCTAAGCTGTTTCTATGTTGCTTTTAGGTCAGGATTTAGCTAGGTGATCCTGGTTTTCTTTCTGTTTGCGTTGATTATCAGAGCAGAGATGTTCGAGTTAAACCACAGGCAGTCATAGGGACGACATGGATTTTCAAGTTCCAGGGACAGAAAGTCGTGCCGACTGGTCGCGGCTCTCATAAGTCTACGGAACGTCGTCAGCGAAGACCTTTTATCACTTTGGGGTCTGAGTACAGCCACTACTGCATTTCTCGGTCCCTGTACTCCGTTTCATACGTCACGTGCAACGCCATGGAGGATAAGGAGACGTCTTGCAACGACTGTGTTTAACCTAAAAAGTAGTACCGTGATTTTTCCATCTCTGACATTATTTTTGTACCACCTTGGGTTTAGTAGTAAATGAGCATACTTTGCGCGTCGGAGATAAAGACCACCAGTAATACGTTTATCTACAAGTTGTTCTGGATCACTTAGCGTCTTTTGTATGAGAAGCACCTTATGCCGGAGCTCAATCAGGTGTGAAGCATGACCACCTTTACTGTGCATGCTCCAACTCTCCCTCTGGTCTCACGGGAGCTCGAGCAGGTGGGAGGGCCCTCTCCTCACGTGCACAGTGGGAGAGCGGACGATTGCCGAGGACCTTCTCCTCGCGCGAGCGTGAGACCGTGGGAGGTGGTTGGGTGGTGGTAGTGGTGGTAGTGGTTAGAAGATGAGAAAAGGCACTACTTTGTCCTCTCCAGTTTATATCTCCGCCGCAGCTCTGCGGTCGTATATCGTGTTGTGCACGCTCGCACCGTTGCACCCTCCCAGCAAAGCTGGGTGTACACTTCGCAGCACACACACGGTAATACACAAAATAGGAGGAGCGTAACATAAGCAGTACACAACATATACACATTTCCAGAAACAAATGAAACATACACGAAAACATAAAAATAGAACGAAAATACAAACACAAGTGAGTACTTGAGCTGCTTCGCATTCTCATGAGGTTCTTTTTACTGGGATATGGTGTAATTGTTTCTTCTCACCTTTTCACGTTTTATTTGTATAATTTGTCACACTGTGCGTGCACGTTTGTGCGTTTCTCGTACGAGCGTTTACAACGAGGAAAGCCAATCGCGAGACACGCATAATAACACTTATTGCTGACAAAAATTCTAGCATAGGTTGAAGAATGTTGAATATCATGTATGAAATGGAGCATAGACATACTCTGATTCTTCGGCTCACCACCATCGGTTCACCACCATTTCTTAGGCTAATTTTTGCTTCTAAAGTAGTTACATTAGGTACCACCTTATTATGAGAGGAATATTAAAACCGGATGTTTAACCTCGCACGCTAGCCCTCTTTACAAAATCTCCTTGCTTTTATGTTACTTTATTTCGTGGTGGGTGTTTGTCATGATGTCTTTTCTTTACCAGACGGCCCTCCACCCAACTCATAAATTCATTACCTTGCCTTCTTTATCTTTAGTGTGCCAGGCGTGAGCAGGGAGATAGACTTAACTTTTATGGCATATAGGCTTTGTCATGAATAAACAGAGCACTGACATTGTCACTCAGATTTAAGCGGTTGTAAATGCTACAGTTTTATGTTACTTGAAGTCACACAGGTAATTTTTTTTCGGTCGTAATTTGTGTTCTTAAATGCAACCCATGGCGGAGGGCGATTGCCGACGAGGAGACGGTGCGCGCTGCGGCTGGAAGTCAAGGTGGTTAGTAGGGTGTTAAGTTTGGCCTGGAAATTCATCTGGGCAGTCGCCGTTGTGAGAAAGCTGGTCCTATAGAAAGGCTCTCAATCCCTTCGGCGCCCAGCCTGACAGACGCTGTCGAAGATTTGAGCAATTATCCAGACCAAACAGCAAGCAAAGGCGAGTTCCCGTCCTTCAAATGCGGACCCTTTTGTCGTCCATAAAGCAGAAGTGGTGACTAATGGACTCGGCGACTCATCGGGCAACGGGAAAGCTGGCGTGAGCAGCGACAGAGCTGACGGCGGAGCGGGGCTTCTTTAATCCTCAGTCAAGTAGCCGACCGGCCGACTGTTATGCCCGCCAGGCATCGTCCCTGCTGGCCTGAGGAGGAGACGTCGTGTCGCCGCGACGCCACGATGAAAGAGGGCAACAGGGACGGCGTCTTCCTGAAAGAGGCCGCGCGGGCACCGCAGATCGCCCCGCTAATTGGGCGAGCTGTGCGGTGGACCCTTTCAAGTATGCAGCCAGGATCGTGGGAACTCTCAACTAACGGCACACACACGACGAGGAAGAGCCCTGCTGGCGCCACCACAGTGCAGTGTTCACGTGGACCGTGCATGCTCGCCCTCTCACCTGTGTGTGCGTGATTTGTGTTCGACTCGGATAGGAGGAGCCCGACAGGGCTTAAAACGACGCCGCAGAGTGCTGGACGTCGCTCTGAACTATGTAACGTTCAGCCACCACGCTCGTGGTTTGTGAAACCTCTAACCTTTCTTTTCTGTAAATATGTGTAAATAGTACCATAAACCTTGTTTTGTTTTTCCGTATCCTCTTGTCAGCGTTCAGTTCCTCCGCCCGGTTGGCAGCAGCGAACTTCCTTCCCATCTCTTACAACTGGTGGCAGTGGTGGGATGCCATCATCAGCAACTTCCTCCTTCGTCGACCTTACAACTGGTGGCAGCGGTGGGATGCCATCAGCAGCGACCTTCCTTTTCTTAAACCTTTACAAGGGGCATAGCGAGGTGACGAGACTGGCCCGTATTGGTCGAAGGGTTGGCTGCCGGGTTGCGACGACTGGGCATAGTTGCCGAACGTCTGAGGTCGACGGCGGCAGTAGCGGGCAACGTGTCCGGGAGTGAAGCAGGCGTAGCGAATCGGTCGGTTATCGGGCGTTCTCTATCGATTGGCGACTGGTGGTGCCGCCCAAGGTGTAGTATACGCAGCCGGGTGTGCGCGCTGTGAGCGCGTGTGTAGGGCGGTTGCGGAAGCCTACGCACAGCGTCTGCATATGT